AGAAAGGTTCCGGGGCGGCGAGCGCGCATGCGCATACCTGCAGTGGAGCAAGGGGGGTGCGGCCTTGGTGGGCTGACAGGGACGAGGGGCAGCGCCGCCCTCCCGCTGCCGACACAGCGCCACAGCGCGCCCCCTTTCCATCTGAGTGAAAAGAATTCTGGAGATTCTGTGTAAAAAGAGCGGGTCTGGGCCCTGCCACACCAGGGCAGGCTGAAGAGGGATGGCTCCAACCACCCACGTGTCACCTTTGGCCCTGACACCTTTGGCCCGTCGTTGCCATGGCATGGGGGTGCAGGTCTTGGGAGTTAAATTGGGGTCCCACCCATGCTGGGTGCCTTGGTGGCAGGGCCCTGGTCCCCCAAGAGACAGCCCACATCCAAAGGCTGGGGTCAAATAAAGCCAGAAATTTTATCTCAGGTTTCATTCAGTGACACTGTCAAAACCCAGCTGAATCTGGGCAATCCAACCTCGGCTAGCGCTCTCCCTAAGCCAACTGTATCCTGGGCTGGATCAGAAGTGTGGCCAGCAGGCCGAGGGAGGGGATTCTGCCCCTCTACTCTGCTCTGGTGAGACCCCACCTGGAGTGCTGCGTCCAGCTGTGGAGCCCCCAATATCAGAAGGATATTGACCCTTTGGAGCGAGTCAAGAGGAGGCCACAAAGATGATCAGAGGGCTGGAGCCCCTCTGCCATGGGGACAGGCTGGGGGAGTTGGGGGGTTCAGCCTGGAAAAGAGAAGGCTCCGGGGAGACCTTATAGCACCTTCCAGTGCCTGAAGGGGCTACAAGGAAGCTGGGGGGGACTTTTTACAAGGGCCTGTAGTGACAGGACAAGGGGTAACGGGTTTAACCAGAAAGAGGGAGATATTGAGACTGGGTATCAGGAAGGAATTCTTCCTGCAGAGGGTGGGGAGGCACTGGGACAGGTTGCCCAGAGAAGCTGTGGATGCCCCATCCCTGGAAGTGTCCAAGGCCAGGCTGGATGAGGCTTGGAGCAACCTGGGCTATGGAAGGTGTCCCTGTCCATGGCAGGGGGGTTGGAACTAGATGGTCTTTAAGGTCCCTTCCAACCCAAACCATTCTAGGATTCTATGATTCTATTTATAAAATCTTTTACAAACTTTTGTAAAAAATGATATCTAAACATACGTATTAAAAACATTAAAATGCTCTTTAAATTGCCTTCAAACACATGATTACCCTGGCATTGCCCAGGCCCCCATAGGGGGGAAGCTAGCAGGAGGTTTTACAGCAGCAGAAGGTGAAAGGTTGAGGAAAAAAAAAGGGGTCAAGTTGACACAGGGAACCTGGGTTTCATGTCATGTTGTTTTTTTATTTTAGCGTGAAGAGCAGAGGGCGCCAAGAGCTCAGAAATGCAGGTGAACAGTTCCTGCCTGAACCAGGGCCCTGGTGTTCTCTTCTTGCCCTGGAAGAAGCAAGCAGATCGGCAGGTATCCCCACACTCTGGCAAGGCCTGTGCAGAGTCGGCATCAGGAGTCCATCCGCCCGCAAAATATCTCAAGCATGGAAGGGAAGGAAGGCAGAAAGCGGTTAAAAAAAAAAAATAAAAAATTCCCTTTCCTTCAGACAGTGAAATTCAGGCTTTTTGAGGTCTCTGAATCTCTGGCTGAATTTAAGGCCGCCAGATTCCTGTCCTATTGCTGTAGGCAAGGGAAACAGCACACCTTCAGACAGTGAAATTCAGGGGTTTTGAGGTCTCTGAATCTCTCTGGCTGAATTTAATGCCCCCAGATTCCTGTCCTATTTGCTGTAGGCAAGGGAAACAGCACAGTCCTCCGTCTCCTCCCTTCTCCCATATCCCTGCATCCTACCACTGAGTGGTCCCACTTTGATTAAGCCAGATGAATTTTTGTCCTGTTCCTCAAGAGCCAAGTGTTGAAATTTCACCGAATCATCAGGCTTTTAGCCCATTTGTGGTAATTACAGGAACAGCTAATGATGCCTTACATAAATGCTCATGGCCATCTCATAGTTTGCATGGAAATGCTCCAGTTATTTTCTGCAAACGCTGTCCCACAGCATAGCATTACCCAGTACAACACAGGGCAATATATTTTCTTACCACAGAAAATGCAACTGTGGGCAAGAAAGACCACATTGTTTGTACCGCAGTGTTAGCCACGTTTCTTCAGAAACAAATCTTACGCCTGCCTTTTGGGCACAGCTCCTTCCAAGCAGCAGAGATCTGTTGCAACACTATGCTGCAGCTGGGATTTTTCTCCCCTGAGAGCTCTGACAGCCTGCACTAATCAGCCCTTCTGAATAGAGAGAGTCATATGAATTATCACCATTAATTTAGGTCAGGTGGATTGCTCTCTGGAGGCATTTCTTTTTCCCATTGACTCTAGAGAAAGCTTAGTACATCCTGTTGCTCTCCAGAGCTACAGAAAATACCCTCTCAGCAGGCAACTTACAACACCTGCTTACCCCCACTTACTTGTGTTTTAATCCTGTGGCCACTTAAACCAAGTCTGAGAGAGTGCAGGATCCTCACCCAAGGAGCCCTTTGGCCATCAGTTCTCAAATACTCCTCATGCATGAAGCCTATGCTGGAGCCATGTGCATCTCATTACTTTGTGTAGGATTTACTCCTTGGTCATAACTAGAGAAAGGTCAGCCTGGTCTCCCTTTAAACTTTGGGCCACGGGACATAATGCCATAATGGTGTTTATGCTTTCTGTTTTAAGGGGATGAAGCACCAGCTGTGAAATCAGACCTTCCTTCAGCTGTAGTTCAGTAAGCAGACCTCACACCCACAATAACAGTTTTGCAACAGTTTATTAGCAATGTTCAGAGAAAATACAAAATCTTATTTACAATGAAATAATAAGAATGGCTGGGCAAAAGGAACAGGGGGATACAGAGCCAGTGTCCAGGTGATGCAGACTTCAGGTAAAGGACAGCCACACAGAGGAAGAGAAGCAGCCCTGCACCTCCCTGGTCAGGGAACCCAGGGGGAACATGTCTATAGCTACATCCCACTCCTAATCTTGTATTACTCAGCTTCATGGGGACTTCCACCTCTCTGAGCACATACATGTTACTGCTTCAGCCCAAGTGCTTTCACTGGGCCTGACTGGGATGGACTTCAAGCCATGGCATCAGCACAGAAGGGGGACCAGAACACATGCAAGGAGGGAGGCCTGTGGAGGGGCAGGAGAGCACAGCAAGCTGTCCCCACTCAGGTGGCCTGGAGACAAGCAGGTGCCATGCAAGCTTTTTTCACACAGGAGCAGAAAGCCAGGAGGTAGCAGCAGCTCAGGCAGCAGCAAAGTTACTCCACAGCAGCAGGAAAAAGGGCAAGAGACCCAGAGTGGGCTGCAGATCCATGTTCTCCACCCCAGATCCCAGGGCATGTAGGGCCAGTTTGGAGGAGTCCTGGTGCAGAAAGGAGGGCTGCAGAGCTCTGGTCTAGACTGTCCACCAGAGGAGGAGTTTTAGGTCTATTTCAGAGTCAGAACTCATCACACAACTCCATACTCCCTCATCAAAAGCTGAAAAGCAGAAATACCTACTGGCCTTTTGTGGTGAGCAAAAAAAGTAAGGCCACATAGTCAGTCTGCTAAGGTAATTCAGACGTGGCTACATGGGTCGGAACCAGGAAATTCTCACTTTAAACTCCTATTTCATGAATTTTTAGGGTGCCTCTCCCATGCTGTCCCCTCTTCCAGTTCTGACTGCTTGACAGTTCAAACGCTCTTATTTCTTTTCTGGCATGTATCTCAGAAATCAGTAGGTCATGAAATTAATGCTATCATCACCTAACAGTCTCCTTTATGCCTTAAAGGAGAAAAAAAAAATGCAGAGGGGCTTGAGGAAGGAATCAATTTTAGGGGTGGGAATGTAAGGTGGAAAGCATCGGTTATGCTTCTGCGTGGTCATGGACAAGGTCAGTGCAGCCACAAAGTGACCGAAGCGTTTTTACTCTCCGCACAGTAACTTTCCTCTGCCCAGCTTGGGGCATGGAACACGTGTGGCAGGAGGATACAACATGTGAAGGGTAAAAGCCAGGGCAGCAGAGGAGGAATGTGTGGTACGGAGCATTTTGGCATAGCCGCTGTCTGACACGCGGGGATTGCTAGAGGCAGGTCAGGGGCGCACCTCCCCTGGGACTTCCCCAGCG